TTGGGCTACAATTGCAATAACAAACTAATTTTTTTTTTATAGATCGCACTCAACATGAACCCAGTTATATGCACAAAGCCTTTCTTTAGATGCCAAATGTTCAATAAAAAGCATGTATTGTATGCGCTGTTTGGTGCTTAGATTTTGAGATCGACGCTTTGATTGTCTTACGAATACAATATGCTAGTTTAAAGGATGAATTCACGATGCGTCAGGTTCACTCTACATGGCGAGCTAAGAAAACTAATGGTTTACGGTCTTTCTAAGGTTAAGTGCCCACATTTTAAGCTTCAGTTGGAAAAGATCAGCGTCACGTTCCTGACGGATGCGATGACATCCAGATTTATCAATGTGATAACAGGAATCGTGCTAGGAATGTATAAGTTGTTTCGGCTGATTGTGCATGAAGAGGCTTGTGAGAGATCGCGGGCTGGAATTCGACTACAAAATTTGGTAGCAAACGCTTATTTGGAATGTCACACTCAAGCATAGACTCTCATAAATCACATTTTTTTGTGATGTGACTCAATTCATGCTGCATAGCCCTAACAATAAGCACCGATGCCACAACTAAAAAAATTACATTTAAGCAAGGCGAGGTAAGTAGCTTAACGTCAAAGAGGATATTAAGTTGTTTGGCTTTAAAGATTCTCTCTACTGCTCCAGATTGTCATTGCTATAACCAGTATGATGTTTTCATCATCTATTCCTGCCCATTAATACGGTCATCCATGGTCAACATACAAAAAGAAATCGCACAAAAGCAGCATTATCTTCTGTCGAGTCGCACTTCCACCGCAAATTCGTTGATTTGATTTCGCTCTAAGAACTCTTTCTGTGTCAAAAGTGGCAGTGGCATCGCGCGCCGTGTAAATCATTCAACTTCATCGTATGACTGATTCAGATCATTTATTGTTGCTTCAAAGATCAACATACTACGCTGCTTAACATTTTTATCCTTCTTTCTATTTGATCATAACAAATGATCGCACTGGCGGTTGAGCTCGACGAATGAGGGTCCAGCTGATCAACAGATAATAATGATATTTTTCATCAGCTCGCAAGCTGGAATAGCGGATATTTTAGGACGAAATATCAACTGCTCCACATCTGCCCTAGTATTAGATATAAGCGGGTATTAACTTGATGCGTGGGCTTCAAAATTTCGCAGACAAGGAGATTTGAAATGCACACAGTCAGAAGGCGGATGGTTCTGGCATCCTTGGCCTGAAGGAACCACTACTATTCAATCGCACCCTGTCGAAAACAATCACGTAATATTTCGATTTGTTTTTTTGGTATGACGTAGAATAGGATCTTGGGTCGATCCAGTCTTCCTTATAAGTTTGAATCCGTACACCTGCTTAGTTCGTGATAATTCACTCAAAAAATTCTGAAGCATCGTCTTTTAAATCATTAAATCTGCAGGCTTTATCAAATCAACGAAACCCGTGGTTTTCACTTAAAGCCGGATCATGTTCTATCCCACCTCACACCTAGTCGAGGTAGAGTGACCGTCGTCGGAGGCTACGTAGGAGACGCGTGGACTATTCATACAATTAATCCCCAACTCAATTACATTGCGTGAGTCAAACTTTACCCAAAAAAAATAAAGACTGGTCGGTGACAACAACGTTGTCATCACTCATATAGCGTTTACTATGATGCCAATTTAAGTGAGCTGATGTTTTTGTCGAAAATAAGACTTCTCTTTGGAATATTCAGTATAGATCTCGTGTCAACTTCCTTAGACAACGCTAGTGAGTTTTGAGTACCTTAGGATTTGAGCCGACGCGATGAAAATCTCACTTATCCGAGTTAAAACACGGGATGACAATTTGGTGGAGAAAACTTATGATTTTCAAGCTGAACTCGAAATCACATTTGTAACAGGACTAGCGAGGTGAATTCGAGGGTTAGTGTGAGCATACGCGGAGTAGTCACGTTGAAAAATCCCGCCGAAGATGTCGATTAGGTTGCACGGTATTGTCGAGTTTCAAGCTGATTCCAAAATAAACAGACAGCGAACTACCAAGCGAAAACAATAAAACAATGAAATTTTCAGGACTTGAATTGGCCTCACGTAAATTGTATCAGAAAAGCAAAACTTTGATCCTAAAGTAGAACCTCTTATGAATATTGATACCGAAGCCGATGTCGTTGTTATTGATCACCACTTTTGCAGGACACAGGAGTGTACTAGGTTTCGTAAATATTGGCAATTGCCTTCACAGATATACTCAGAAATAATATTCAGCTTGACATATTGGAGCGTCGATACGACAACGGACGCTGTGGTCAATTGCAGATAGCTTTCGATTTTGTTCTTGGAACATCATTATAAGTTGGCATAAATTTCGGCTACAACTGGACGTAGTGCGCATCATCAATATATTGCGATAGAATCAAAAAAGGTGACAGCACTTCTCACTGGTTGAACATGCAGTCTTCTCAACTTACAGAAGATTAACAAACAGAATCTGTGCTGTCCTCAAAAAGAATATCCAAATTTATCGATTGATGACTCACCTAATATCATTTTTGCAAGCGGCGATGAATGATCTAAAGTTGACATATGACCAAGTCAACTGGTAGCTTTGGTGCTGTCTCGAAAATTGGACGGGGCCCGCAATGTTGGGTGCCGCTAGCACCAGCCACAACTTTATGATGGAATGTGCCGATATATTTTTTCAGTGACAGGTTATCAAGTGCCAATTTTAAGAAAAACTTGGTAATATCACTAGAATATTTGAGCTTTGCACAATCTCACAAAATGTAAGTTACGGTACATACCTCATTTTCCCCTTTGCAAACCACGTTGGGACTCAAACTAATTTATCTTTCAAGACATTGCGCCCATGTTGTAGCTCTACGAGCATCCACTGCTTTGACCCCATTTGTTGCATGTTTCAGCACCTGCTCTTACGAGCCTTATCCGCATCGGAGTCCCCTTAGCGTGTCTCCCGTTGTTCACCAAGCTTCTGGAAAATGTGCATCTTATATGGCTAGCAATATGAACGACATTTTGGTAAGAAAGCCGAGGTGATATCTGATGGGTGTATTTCTGATTTCCGACTTGGCACGGAGCCATCAAATAGCAACGCACGGCAAAGCTATCTTGACTATGAATCGTTACCACGCTGTAAAAATCCTCTGCACAACTCATCCGGCCGATATCCTGTTTGTTTTGATGGAGCTGAACTTGGCCCAGCGAACAGAGCCTGCAGGTATGCAAGAGCAGGAGAAGCAGCGATATTTAAAGACTCAATCACACCGCGATCATGCATTTGATATATATGAGATAGCGTGCGGGCGTTTTGCACAAAAAAGTAAAAGAAGCACTCGAAGGTCACTCCGTGTGACCCACTTTCAAAGGGATACTCTTCTGAACAGGGCAGCAGTAGATGAAGTAATTTGTACTGTCACTACGACTGTTCTTCTGGGACTGAAAGCTGGCAGAGTGCCGAAGATTATCACAATTTACCCGGGTATTAGACCGTCGCGTTTACCCGTCTGTCAGATTTGGAAACTATCATTAGTGATATAAGCGCTCGATCAATGCGTCGTTTAATGCTTGACTCCTAGAAGTACAAAAATCGACGTGAGCGTCGACGTGAAAACTACCACCATCGATTCTGGGAGCCAATAGCCTTGCTCATCTCCATAATCCAGCCGTTACAGCTACCGACCAGGTCCCGAATTGGATACATGATCGAGCACCTCTCGCTACTAGGACGCGCGTCGCGCTGATTGACCCTGTCTCGCCTTGTAGACTCAGTCTAAGTAAAAACAAAGATTTTCGAAGTCATTTACGGCTATGATGTCAGGACAATCTTGTCGACGTAAAATTTCAAGCTTCAATGATTGAGGATAAACTTTTGCTGAAAAAGATCATTACACAGACTTGATGAATCCGTCAGCATAATATTCGCCTTTTGTTTATCTCTCAGTGCTGGCGAAGGACGACCCTCTCAGTGCTGGATCTTGTGAGCCTCTTGGTGATCGAGGCATACTAACTGTCTCTAAGAGTTCTAAAGCGAAGCTGAAACCAGAATGGATCGTCGAGTATTCCTACTTTGAGTAACACTCTCGTTTGGAGAACCAGAGCTTTCTGCTGCTTAGAAGTAGACAGTAGCTCAGCTACAGCGAACGGTTGCAGCATTGCTTTGTCCTTTACAAAGAGGTTTTATTTAAAAGGTAATCGGGATCTCGGTACGCCTTTACAAACTCGCGCAATACGCAAGTTGCGCTCGTAATAATTTTGTGATATTAAGAAGACATGGAATGTTTGTCAAGGAATTGGAGTGGTAACAATTACTGGCTCAACCGATATTCATATACAATCTCAAAAGCCGCTTTACTGCTGTAACCTTGTACTTGTTGGTATTTTTTTAACATGTTGGTGAGAGGCTGTATCGCAGTATTATAATTTGCGCTGTATTCGACTTTTTACTCTCCTTGGAGCAGAGACGCTTTCCAGTCTGTGACGACCTTGACTTTGCGAAAACTTTGACGTCTGTCCGTAGACCATGCTTCTAAATGGAGTTTCTACAACAGGATGTGAGAACTGAAAATTCCCTTGTGAGAGCGTAAATTAGGGCAGAAGCTGTAAGGCGTAGGTCCACAAACTTAAAAAGGCGCTTGAGCACTGTATGGCAAAAATGCGGATTTGCGCGATCAATTTTTATTTTGCAAATCAGTTTCCCTATAGCCTATCGTTTGTTCTCGCCGAACTGTTGCTGAAGTTTGTCTGCCTGTGAGCCAAACAGTATGTGTAACATCTTTTCGCATCCGGTCACAATAGCTCCTACCCGTGCGCAATCACCTATTGTTGAATCCCACTGTTGAAGCAGCTTGATTTCATTAACTTTGCTCAATCATCCAGTGAGAAAGGGCCATAACGGTATCCGACCGATTTACATTGCCGACGAAGTCAATCTATCGTCATTTCGCGCACGCGTCGGCGCTGTAAAACGCAAATTAAGGGATGTCACGGACTACTTTATGTGACATCAAATGAGAAAGAAGTATTTTAAGAGCGTTATGGTTCCGTTTCCAGGCGAAATGTGCGAACCTAACAGGCTTTATTAGCGTGAGCGTTAAGTATTCCCATGTATCAGTCGATGTTCCTTTTGTGCAGGTGCCCAGCACCCTTATTGCACTTGGTAACACTTGTCGTCCACCAAACGAACGAGTTTTCATAGAATTTATTCTCTGTGAGTATGGAAAGCGAGCTGTTCGATGAAATAGCCCAAGGACGGCAAGACTCACCTCGAAGATATACGTCAATGGGTAGCGCGATAGAAAACCCAAAGATCGCTATCCTACAATCTCTCATCAGCTATGGGAAAACGCTAAGTGGCAACTCATGTACACCCCATCCAGGCGCCAGTGGAACCGCATTCTACTTCTACTTTGGGGCCGCTATAATGCCTCTCAACGCTTTGAGATCAAGGGCGAGAGAAATCTCTCCCTCTGAGTATTCAACGCTGAGCTGGACATGATTCGGTCCACGGCACAGACGGAGTAACAGCGCGTCGCTCAAAGAGTCTCCAAGCTAGAGAGCACGCCGAATTGAGCTTTAAACTGCGGCTGCTCTGTCAAAGACGTATCCAGCATGTGAATTACTAATGCGACAAATCCGCACCACCTGGTAAAGTGTACCATGAGCGCTTAAAATTGCTGTGCGCCTGTCAAGGAGAGAGAATTCGTGAATGGTGTCAAAAGGTTATAAAAATTCATGATGCGGTAGACTTTTTTTCGAGTTCTCTTCGCTTCTCTTTGGTGGTAAGAATTAGCGGCTTTGCGTAGGGTGCCCGAGCAAGTGCAGGTTACACCAAGACTCTTTGCACATCCCAAAGAATTTTTGTCACGCTAGTCGTCGTTACAGTAGCGTAATAATGACACCACTATTTCGCCAGATTCGTCACCCATTTGCGATTGGCCTGCATTACGCTTTTTAAACAGATTCAAAGTTGAATGAAGCACAGCAACAAAATCCACTGTAGTATGTGATCAATGTTGCGATACATGCCGGGTGAACTTTGTGCAGCGAGTGCTAGTCAAAGTGTGCGGGAGGTTTGGGCATTTATATTTTAGCAAAGACGATGGATCTCAGCCAAGATCAGGAGGAAGCTTTTGAGACTTGTGTTATAATAGGCTTGCAGGTGTGTTATATGTGGCAGTACCAAAAAGCCGCGCCCTGAAGGGTAAAGAAGGATCAGCTTGAACACTGGATTGGCTGACAAACCAACGCAAAGGGTCTTCGAGTCCAAACAGTTGGAGGGCGGACAACTAAGCAATAATTGATTTCTATCATACCTCGAAAAGGTCGTCAATAATAAAGCCTAGCCACAAACTCTAGGATATGTATGACTCATAGCATATGGTTTTGGCGGTCAGCATCAACGTCTTAGGCTTTTCGAAGCTAAGATTAAGATTGTGATAGGTGATCCGAGGCTCCAGACATTTAAGCTGCACATACGTAGGAGGATATTTGAACTTATAGGTAACTTTAAAGGTAACTTTAAATGGACCTTCGAGATTGAATTTCCTTCACGAAACGAGTTGAAATTGTGTCCGTATCTAATTTCTGCAGTTATTCATAAACCTCGCGCAAGTATTTGCACGAGGTTTCGGCTCCCAACAAGAATTTCATTAGCTTCATAAAACTCCCAAAAGTTGTAAATAACAATTGGCAATGCTAACAGTGGGTAGTACCTTCCAAAATTAAAATTGCTCGTTTAAAGGCCAATTTCTAATTTGATTTCCATGAAGTGCGATATAATGCTCGCTCCGAACAACACCTGTAGGGAATCGACTTGTTTTGCAAGAAATTCATCAATGCGTGATAAACCCTTCGTACCTCTCCGCCGAGAGGTATGAGGACCCACACAGCTTGATTGGTTGATACGAACAGATAAACTATCTGCGAGCTCTGCAATGCTTTTGATGACAAAAAACATTACCATCATAACTTGGTCGGCCCCAGGCTAACCTAAAAGTCTTCACCACTAGAGCTCCAACGGACCTTTGCTGCCAGGTTGTTGTGCTCGAGTACAATACATCATTAATCTCTTCGCAACAATGAAGAATGCTTCGAAATCAGCCGCTCTTAGACGGAGGCCTTTCATAAAAGGATACACATTATTTTTCTTCGAAGGGTACCTGCCTTCATTACAAATATCATATATATATATGGTTGCAGATGTTCTTCTCCCTTGTTTGGTGGAAACAAATTTTGTTTGAGCGCAATTGGCCTAGTTAGATGGTGCAAATATTCGCGACTTTTGTCGCTCTAGTAGATCCCAATATGAGATTGCCTCGTTTATAGACGCATTAACCGTTTGGCTCATTTGAACATGCCTTCTCTTTGAATGAGGTTCGCTAAGTCATCGCGGGTATGATCTGTTAGGACCCGGGCTGATTTCTGACCGTCATTACCTCACAAGTCTAAAGAAAAATGTTGTCGTTTTCATCAAAGTTTTGATGTTTAGCAAAATCATTGTCGGTATATAAATCTCTGCGCGATCATGTTATGCTTTCATTAGCAGCGAGTGCCACGCCCCTAGGGGTGTGGCAACTGCTGGCAACTGCAACTTCTACATCTACACCTCATCTTGGATTTGGGTAATTCATTGTGCTACCGTCTCGAGACCAACGAAAGATAAAAATCGTTATAGGCATATCTTGATTTTTGGAAATTGGGTTTTGTTAATATGCATCATTCTACAGTCATGTTAAGTCCCAGTCGTCGGATCAACGGCAAGTGATGTCAGTTGCACCGGGATTTCGTGGCACCCAGCACAAAAAATTTAATTCTTCTAGTTCACGTCAACTAGCGAGGGGAGCATTTGCTCGCCTGGTGTCACTTGGGTGCCAATATGTATCAGATAGCAAAAATCTCATTGCCAAACTTCAAAATTCTAATGTGTAGATTTCAAGGTCGCTTGAACATGAACCTCAAAATTCCTGTTATACCACTTATCCTGACAAGATATATGCGAATATAGTATGTAAATGTCTTAATGGGGGGACATCTTACTCTCAATCGTGTTTATACGAATCACAGTACTTGGTTATATCTCCCTTGACCTTCACACCTACGAGCTTTGCTAAAGTTCGAAAGGCAATCGCGAACGGTATGTGTGAATCATAAGATACTACATTGCCTGGCTCATGGCTTCACTTGCTACGAAGAGCGGCTGTTGATCAAGACAATTCGGTATATAGTGAAGAAAAATGTTGGAGCGCTTAAATTAAGTACCAACTCGGGTGAATACACGCAATGAAAACAACTAAGATCTCGCAAGCGTCGCGCGGCAAAGTTAGTAGAAGCATTTCATAAGCAAGTTAACTTGATCAATTATTCTCCTACTAGTCAACGGGGTAATATCGGCACGTGAAGTTAAAGTATTGTTTTGAGCTAGCACAATGGGGTAGCGGCAAGGACAGCAGCTGTTATGAATCAAATTGGTCAAACTAGTGATCTTGTGCATTGCAGCTAGCAGCTCTTCTAGTTCTCTCGGAGCTGTTCGAGTATGTTTATTGGAGTCATCAACTTGGGCTGGTATCTACGTCGTCATTTTAATGATCTTGTCTAAGTATGTCTTTTTTCGTTGGCAGTCGGCTAGCCTGTCGGTCGCGGCAAAATCTTGGCAATACATCGGTATACTTATTTTTGGTCATCTAAAATTCGGGAAAGGTGGATATTTTAAATACATTAAAGTCATACAGGTAAAACAATATTTGATCCAGTATATTAAAACAAGTGCTAGCGCGCATCTCGCACGAATGAAGTGACTGTATGACTAATCTTTGTTATACGCACAGGGAGCAAGATCACCAGTCCTGAACCAGAATTATACTATACTAAACATACAACGACCTTTTAGTTATATTAGCAAAATGCTATACATTACATTGCCTGCTTATAGGAGATTATTGGCACTACGGACCGTAGCTCTCATCTGTAACAAAGTGCTAATCATGATAATTTGTCATAGTATCGTGGTTTTTGTGCATTGCTTAACGTTCGAGGGGAGATGGTGCAATACGCATGATAAACATCACAATATAGCCCGTTTATATATCATGTTCATTTCTGACAGAGCGTTCAGTTTCATCCGCATTTGGTCGTCAGGTTGACAACATACTCTACCACAATCGAGCTTACTGAATTTGCTGATGGCATATCTAGAGAAGCGTCTAAGGCAGGCGTTTTCAATCGCCCCTAAAGGATTTTTATATTGTAACGCTGCTATTGCTAAGCGCCAATTCCTTTCACGTCAAAGACAGAGGTCTTCATTTTATATAAAAAGGTAAATATGACCATGACATTGGGCCTGATCTAGACGAACAAGAGCTCGTGGCACTATGGTTGCAAAAGCTGAGCGACATGAAAGGAGCAGCCGCACTTACTTCCAGCACCTTAGTGGATAAAACACCCGAAAACCCAAGCGATAGGGTCTAGGAGAATCTGTAGGTATACCGTGTGTGATAAAATCCTTGTTTTCTCATCCAAAGCAAATAAACGAATCGACCTTTCAATGTTTTGACAACTCACGTTGCCTTGTAAATATCTTATTCTGACGGTAACAGCCACATTTTTTGTATGTTCTTTGAATAGGCCCGGTTTGTAGCGAGACCTCTCGCACTGCCAACCACTTTTAAGAATGTGGAGAATGTTAAATTAAATGCGAGGTACAACTTTAGTGTCGCGAGAGACCGTTGAAGCTTTGAGGAGGAGGATACACAAGCCTGCAAGAAGAAGATATGCAGGTGCATATTAATTAAAGTATGATAAAAAATAACGATCTTCAAGTTGCCGAGCGAAGCCGTACTTCTTGCCGATATAACATGTGTGACTGAACAATCCATTACACCCTGAGCTCTATCGCCTCGCTCGGTCTAGAGGTATGAGGGTAAAGTTTTCCCCATGGTCGTCCAACATATCTCTTGCAAGAAAATCATGAGTTCAAGTATGTTAAATGCGTCCAACTGGGTCTTGTGGAGATTTTAACCACTGAAAACAAGCTTTTAAAGAGCGCAATTAAGTAACACTTGAAGTGAAATTAGGCTCACCATGCGTGATTGATACGACTGTCATTAATATTACTTGCAGAACACTGGGTATGAGGGGTAGGACAGCTATCATCAAGGGTCCTTCAAATTCTTTTCATCGTTTTTAATGGAATATCACGATGTGGTGAAGAGGATCCTCCATTTGTATCGCCCCCGAAGGTTGCGTCAATGATTTGGCCTGGCTCCTGGAACCAAATTTAGCTTTATGTGAAGATAGGTCTTTCCAAAAAACAGTGTAAACCTATAGATGCTCTTTTCTCTGCAAATCACCGAGCCGATTAGATGATAAAGCGTCAACTTCCCACTTGGCGCAAAATTTATGTGTCAGAAAAACTCACGGCAAGTGGCGAAATGTACACAAACGCTGTATCCTAGAAACGATGTGCTGCAGGAAAGCATGTCGGCTACACCCTATTCAGTGTATTTGGGTTAGTTAGTGGGTAAAATAGTTTATGTATGAAAAATATTGACATCATTCTCACTGCGGTAAACACACCGAGCAAGGTGTTCTGGAAGCTAGAAAATCCTTGTTTCGGCAGAGCACTCGTCAAAGGCCGTGTAGAGCAGATGGAGCCGGTTTGGAGAGCGGCATTAATCACTATTCAAAACACTTTTACATATGCAGTATCTGCCTCGTGCATTGGTGCCCTTGACTGGTATGTCGATTCCGATAGACTGTTTTTAGTCCTTTGGTTTGGTCGCTCAAAAACCTGTTCAGTAAAACCGGAGCTGTCATTTTGTTGTCCCTTCTTTCCAAAAACATGACCATGCCGGTGACAGCGTTATCGGTGAACTGTGCAACTCTTCCTTACCTAAGGCTCTTGCGAGGTGCGTGTGTCGGATCAAAATTCATCCTCTGCAGCAAAATTTTGGCAAATTTTGTTTAAGACGCTTGACATCAAATTTGACGTGAATCTGGCTTATCCTCCACTGAGATTCACCTGGAACGTATTATTCTTGTTGTGCTAAATTTTCTTGAAGAAATTTCATGGAACGATCGCGGTGCTGAAGCAAATTACCCTTACTCATTGCGTGCGCACTGATTAATTCCGTGCTTCACTATATACAGGCTTTATCTTATCTCGCATAAATGCTCAAAATTATTCTGCCTACAATGCACAGGCCTACAACTTTGTTATGACATTATATACGACGACAGCCCAGCCTAAACTTAAAAAAATAGTACGTCAATGAGATTGAGCGTCATGCATCGAGTGCTCGGCGCTAGTGCAGAGAACCAGAATGTTCACGAAACTTGCGATCGTAAGTGGCAGGTAGAATACACATGACATGGTTAGGGGTGAAAAGGCTTTGTGAGCAGTGTTATCCCAACACCCACGTAGAAAGTTCACAGTCTGTATGACTTTATTGCTCCGCATAGTGCTGCTGCTTTCGCAATACCGTTGCATCATGACGCTCTAAATATCGTCAAGGTTTGACTTCTTACTCGCGACTGACCCTGCCCTGGTGACCGCGTCGCATATCAGCTTGATTTTTGGATCACTTATGGTCGTTGAAGAGCAAAGATTAACTCAATTAAATTCCCCCAAAAGCTGAACACATCATTTTTTCGCTGATATTTTGCCAAATCCATATCACGACCCCGCTTCTACAAACCATTTGGAGCAAAGTGCTCTGTTTGAGATGGCATAGCGTCCTGACAATACCTTGTAGCCAGCTACCTATCGCGTGATTGCAGCGATAGAGTTTTACAATTACTTTGACATTTTGGATAGCGCGTCTAAGAATATAACAAGAGACCATCACTGAGAGACCCCAGAAGGCTTGTTGCGGAAAGGTTGCCCTCCGCTGGTTCTGGCCAATTAGCAATTGGCTCCATACTTTCATCAAAAATAAATTTTTGCCCACTTGTTATGGATGCAAGCTTTTTTCGGCAAAGTGAAGGCGATATTATCACTCCGATTTGATGGGCTTTCGAAATCTGACTTCAACATAAATTTTCTAGGGCAGTTGCCACTAACGCCTCGGCTTACTCTCTATTTTACCTCCCGAGGAGACTAGACAGAGTTGCCCAGCGCAGTGCATCTTCACCAGCTATAATGACCTTTTTTTACGATTGAGACTTGATGGTAGCTTGAATGACGCACCAGTGAAACGTCTTCGCTTCTAAAACTAACTCGAGTAACTGTACGATGAATTAAGCGATTCCTCAGTGTGCTAATTCGGTAAATTAATTTTCAGCACTGTCGCGAGTATTTAGTACCCAAAGATCCATTTTCACAGAGGGTTCTGATTCATCCAACGCTGCTGCTCGAAGCGTTCGATGTGCGAGGGCAATAAGAGATGGTTTAACGTTTGTTTCAAGAGGAAGGTTTGCGTGTCTGGGCGTGTAAGGTCCCTGTCACGTTGCAACGAGAAAAATAAGAAAAATTAAAATCAGAATCAGAATCACGAAGTGATTTAGCCAGAGAAAACTGTTCTGATTACTCACTTGTAGATGATCTAGCTGTCTTTCTATCCCGATTTAACTAGCTTGGACGCTGTTGTAAGCTCTGCGGAAATGTTCCGCGACAACTTCCGCCGTAGGGAGCAGACACAGAGTGCATAATTTCTCGTAACGGGCTTACACTGGTATGAAGGGGTGAATCACAAAAGATGGTGTGACCACACAATGGCGTGGATCACTATCACAAGAAGCCACTACGTGGTTGGACTACCATTAGTTATGCATTTAATTAGGCTTTACTACTAACCTATAAGTTTAGAATGGGCGGCTCTGTCGCAAATAAAAAAATACAGGTTCCATTTTGAACGGAATAGCATATTTGCCTTGATTTATGAAAGTGGTTACTCTTGGCGTAAACTGATTGCGATCCGCTACACTCGTATTGGTTCTATTATAGAACGTAATGTCGGTGGCCTTAGCTGAGCTTCCTCGAAGCAAAACATTTACGGCAGCTCCGCTGCATTTCTGGCATAAGAATAAAGATCAGTATGTTGGGTCAAGCTTCGAAAAGTCGTCATGAACATTTTCATCGTCGACTATGTAAGGTATAAGGTTCCCAGTGCGAGTATGGTCGTTGGGGCAGGTAGTGTAGACCGCGAGTGGAACTTTCGGTATTGTTATGTGCTTACATATTACACTACTCCGAGGCGCAAAAGTACTGGTGCTGCCAAAACACTGGCACCAATGAGAAGGATGGAATCTCGCGAGGGGGGTCTGGGTGAGACGTACCAATCCTTTCTCTGTGCTTTTGTTAACGCGGACTAGTGACTCAAGGCTTCCTCTGTGCTTTTGTTAACGCGGACTAGTGACTCAAGGCTTCCTCTGTGATTGATGCAGCGCCACCGCGTCACAAACGGTGCTTCACAAGAAAATAATGTAACGTATGCGAAGCAGCTTCAAAACACAACTAATGCGGATGGAGCGATTGAGTGATCCAGAGTGGTAGAGTGCTGTGAGGATGTTTTCAGGCGGAGTGCAAACGAAGAATAGGCGAGCAATACCATATTAATTAAAAAATGTCGGAGGTCAGTGCTAAAGTGTAATGGTATAGAGGAATAGACATGCGAGCCGAAACATTTAACACTAAAAACAAGTGAAGAAACATTGCTGTGAAATATTCACTACATTAAAAATTGACCTGAGGATTTTTACGCAGTGTATTACGGATACATGCTTGGGTCACAAGCCCAAGTGTAAATTTTCTACAAGTTCACGTGGATTCTGATTTTTCTCGTCGTCAGTCTCTGTCTGCTGACTAAACCAGCAGACGCGCACAGGGAGCTCAAGTTGGAGCGAAAGTGCAATACACGACATATTGTCTTGAACCCAAGCAATCTGCTCCTTTGACAGCGTTCCGTGCGATCTGTCCAGATGTCTGTTCTCAGGTAGTAGTAACCGGCGTTGCAAGTCGGCTTCTCGTGTACCTTTGCGGTCCTGTCTTACCCGTCCTCAATAATGGTTTGCGAAATCTGCGTGCGACCAGGAAGAAGAATCTTGATCATACAAATCCGCCAAGAAGGACGCTAAGAGCATGGATTCCGTCGTCTTCGACAATTAAAATCGGTCGCATTCGCCGAGCAATTATGTTTGCAGCTTCTTATCAAATGTCGAATCGCACTGAGTCCTCGATAACGTCGATCCTTCTAACAACTTTCGTCTTTCTCTTGCCTTCCGCGTCTTCTTGAAGCTAAGAGTCGCGTAAGAACTTGCCAGCCGACAATTTTTCCGATTCAACTTTTGCTGTGTATTACCGTACTGTGTTTTCGCGATGAGTCGAATATACTGCGATAATTTCAGTTATCGCTGGCCTCTCGTCTCAAGACGAGGTTGATGAAGGAGCTGTTACGTGGCGATGCTAATCACATTTATACTAGAGCTCCTCCTTTGTTTTTTCCAAACTACAACTCTAAGTTACTTCTTCTGGCGAGACAGGTAGTGTTGTGTCATTGAGATTGTTCCCTTAAGGCGTTTACAATGAGCAAACATCCACACGTGCACTTCGCGCGCTTCGTAGCGGAGCTTCTTGCAACATATCACAAATATATTGGCTGCTCTGAGTGGTTTCATTTTCTTAAAACGTATCATTCGCATCCGTGATTGGGCAAAAAGAACCGCTTGTGCTACGTTACTAAAGTAAGCACAATTGGTAAGCACAATTTTGAAGGTCATTTCCCAAAGTGTGAGTATATTTAAATAAACCATAGGAACTAGAAATGATAGTATACTCTTCGTACAAGAGTACGATATTATCCTGTGCTGAATCGCAAAAACGCATTTTCTTAACTCTAGATATACCAGACCGCAAATAATCTCACATGACTCGTCACCAGATACTTTCATGTAGAATGCTCAGCTCACCAAGATGAAACATTGTGTCACCTTTAGAAGGCTGCACATTGTGTTTAATATAATGGTGACGATACTGAACTTTCGAGCCTAAATTGTTAGAGATTCCAAGCAGTACTACGATGTTGGTGCTCCATATCATTATCCAAATGCAAGTGTGTCCGGCAGGTATTTTACTAGTTTGTAATCCGCGCTAAAGATGGAAAGAAAAACTATTTTCCACGACGACTACTATTCATAGTACTTCGAAATTCCTACTTTTTTAGTACGATCAGGTAATGCAGATATCAAGTCCACTTGTTGACGTGAGCAGCATTTCACAGCATATGAAAATTGCAGTCATTAAGGCTTTGGCATTCCGTCACATAAGTGCCCTTAAAATACGCAGTCAAACGTAGAGCTAAAATTACAGAAACTGCGAAATAATGTTAACATGGCATCTAATATGTCAGCAGCCCAATAATTCGCATACAGCGACAGATCAATGTCAACATCAATAAGATCAATGTCATCGCGAGCCGTTTGGCGGAAATGAATGTACTTTTAATGAGGGATTTAGTCGCCGATCAGCTACGAGCAAATTAATTTTCGCCCCCGTTTTTGCGACTGCAAAAATATAGAATCACTGACGACACAAAGTGTCTCAAGCGTTCAGACCAAAGTATCCGTTGTTTAAAGCTGATCCCATACTGTCCATGCCAAACAATAACAATATGTATGAAATCCAAGTTACAATTTTGAGGGGATAACATTATTATTTAATCTGTCTAAGAGAATTATAGCAGCAAACGCCCCATAGTGAAATGATGCAGCGTATATACTTTTACCAGAAAAAGCATCCCCAAACTTTGGGTGGTATCTAGCAAACGCCACAAGTAGTGATAACCTTACATTCAGTCAGCATCTGCCATGTTATTGATGGAATTGCTGCGGAAAAGCCCGATTTGATTTGGACTGTTTGCCGCTTAATCATATGTGAGCAAAAAAGAGCAAAAAATATGTGCAGTAAAATAAGCAGGCAGAATTATCTAAGCACAAAGTATGTATATTATCCGGGAGGCATAATATCCTAAGCGATGGAAACGGCGAGAATGGCAGATGAGATCACCAATCCCATTGTTAGCATAATTGACGAAGCACTGCTGGTGTTATCCGCAGAAGGCGCAGGTGTCGTACTGTTGCCTGGACCACTCATGTTCATTTCTTCTCCTGCATCTTCAAGCACTTCATGGCATTGATCGTGAAGTTTTGACACTTCATCAGCAAGGTCACGTGGCGTTCCTTGGTACGTGATCAAGCAGTCGACGGAGTCCATGAGCTCGTGTACAGGAGCGAGACACGTGGATGAGTTGCAGAATGTGAGGAAGTCCGAGTCCGTGAAGTTGAGGACATCAAACACTGACGAGATATTAAATGTTGTGCCCTCAGCGCATGTGTTGAAGTAGGTACTGTTGTCAATAGTGGCGATGAAAGACGTGCTAACATTAGATGCACACTCTTCAGTAGGAGCGGCCGCAGTAGAGTTTGACATAGTCATATTCATCGATTGATCCATATCCGAGTGATCCTCTCCATTTTGAGCAAAAGTGACACTTGCGAACGCGACAAGGAGCGTAGATGCGAAGACGGTAAACTTGGCCATCGTGAGAGCGATTTCGAGTTGAGGTGAATGCAGAAAAATCGAAAGTGAGTTAGGAGGGTGCAGTGGATCTCGGTTGCTGGACCGTCTGGTACCGGTACAATTGTTGATTGGCGTGCGAGCTCTACCACTCAAGATCAGATGGATTTATTAAATATGGAGTTGAATTATTAATATTAAAGATCTTGTTTGCGGCAGAGACAATTATTGGTATAGCGGTAGAGGCTGTAGATTGGGTTAAAAAACAGAAGAAGATTAAACGCATGTCAGGAAAGTTTTGTTATACCTAATTGAAGTAAGACTCTGTGTACATCAAGCGAAAGCAGTTGTTCATTACCTGTCGCGAAAGCGATTTTAAAACGATCGATGTAGGGAAAATATTGTTGAAAATTAATCTGTATATGCATTTACTTTACATGTATATTGGCTCAAACTTTCCCCTCGAGTTTAAATCCATATTGATAACTCGAACGTTCAAGTTGAGCAGGTGGAAAGAGGCCTCAGTCACTCATATACCTTTAAGTTTGCATGCATTCTAACATAGGTTATGAATTACGAGTCTGTCATGTTGTCTCTGCCTTTTAACTTTTCTGACATGTGATTTAAAGAGTGTCGAACGCAGTGGACTGCAGACACGAATGCCGCTCCCACAGGCTTGTTTTTCCTGTAGACTACGCTATCAAATCTTTTTATACGTCAATGCTAGACTTGCTAGCAAGAACCGAGATTCAAGCGAGCTTAAAGCAAGGTGCACTAACAGCCCCAATGTCTCCTATGATATTTGGTATGTCATGTGTATGATCTGTATGGTTAATTTACAAGCACATCATTCATTATATATATTCATTAGTGCAGCACATCATCGTCTGGTAGGCCTTCGCCCCTTCAATTATTGCGTGTCTGTTTCTTTGTATCCGAACGTTTTAAAACCACCATTGCCATCCGGATGATCAAATATTAAATTATTTTATATTTCTCTTTATTGCAATTAGTTTGTGGAACAATAAATGGGAACGGTCGTCGAGCCGAATCAGGTTTACAACTGCAAATTGAGGAGAAAACAGAATAAATGAGTTAAGATTGGAAAAGATCTTCGTGTGATGTATGAGCAAGAGAGCGCATTATGCAGAACATATCCTGTATCCAAGAATTGTGTCGTTGAGAAATCTCGTTTGAGCTTCAAGCTTTAGAATTTTGTGAACCCACTTTCCTAAAGGATACATGAAAGTGACAGTTGTCCGACGACGAAAATTCTGACGACAGAACAGGCGGTGTTAGGAGGATTGTAAAACGACTCTTTGTGCAGTTCTCGAGATACCGAACGCCAACAGAATTCGATCTTGGACGAATTCCATCGTCCAATGTGAACAATCTTGATAGTCGCAAATCCTTTCCACGACTGCAGTGGGAACCGTGAGAGCTGTGAGATTTTTTCTCGCGCTAGAAGCCAGACAGTCCCATTTCTTTGAGATTCTGGCTCGAGATTCGCTGTAAGTTCTATGTTATACTTCATATTTTCTTGGCAAATGTTCTAGAATCGTTCCTCCGGTCACTCCCTTTTCTAAACACCAGGTGTCATCCCACATCTAGTCTCTAGTTATGAGGAATATTGTGGTCACATGTCTATGCGGTGCAAGAAGATAAACGAATTATCGAATTTATGATGGCTGGACGTACAATCGCCACGTCTGTAGACTTGCTTCAGAAAGAACGGTCTCGAATGCCTTTTTTATTTTCCAGATAGTCCCGAGAATCCTCGTGCATTATGCTGTATACTACAGATTTTTCATCGATAACGACGGGACGAGGCAGACTACGATTTGCTTATGGTGAACAACGAGACGTTATACCTGTTATGAGCATTTAGTATAAACTAAGAGTCTTATAAACCTCGTGGCTATTAAGTGTCCGCTTATCTCGCTTTGCTATGTGAGATTGCTTCGGCCTTGACTTTTTGTTACACAGTACAGAGGTGCCAAACCCAGTCAACGTGTATGCTTGGCGCTAAAGAGTTCTCAGAATGATACTTCTTATATATGATTACTACTTATGAATAACGCGTGTAACAGTCTCCTGTTAAGATATTGTCACTCTAATCTTGACTCAACGCGCAGAGAATGCAACTTGTGTACTTAACCCACACACTTGCACAAAACTAGCATTGACTTCGTGAAATTATAATTACTGGAGCTTCAGTGTAACGGGGTTGCGCATAGAAACTACAAGATTGTGCGACCGTACAGGGTGTATGATACATAATTAGTGTAACTACACAGTGGTGTGGCTACACCGTAACAATGCATGATACTATATTAATTAGGTTCTGCTTTATTAAATTGGTATTACTATATGAACTAGGTAGAACCTAATTTAACGGGGTTACACATACCCTGGTAACAGGTGTGTGTCACACCAGACGGGCATGGTGTGACCCCACACAAACAAGAATGCGGTACGGGGCTGGATAGCCAGTAGTTATACATGTATTTAAATTTTACTATACATATTAAGGAAAATCTATGCATTTAAAATCAGGCCGTCGTGGTATGTTTTTCAGTAAGACAAAACTGATTCGGTTTAGTGAACCAAAACACGGTAAATTGTGCAGTTTCAGTTAGCTCAAGATTCCACTTACGGCTTTGCCGCAGATAGAAATAAATAAAGTCAGTTTTTGATCTAAACGGAAGAGTTAATCAGCCTTGGGTCAAGGTTGTAATTACTCTTGGAGTAAGCGGAATGCGATTCGCTGAACTCGTACTTGCTCTAAGTATGGAACGATAGGTCGGTGCCCTAACTTACGCTTCCTCAAAGCGCAAAGCTACGGCAGCCCCGCTGCACTTGGTAGAACTAGTAGTCAATCTACACCTAAGTCGGTACGACTGATCCTCGGTGAGGATGGAACAATTTTTCTCTTTGCCCCAGGGCATGCAGGACGGGCTTAAAAAGCTGATGTCCTTGGTTGGCCCTGAGGGCGTGCAACACCTTGCTGCGCAAGGCCCCGAGGCAATCGGTGCGCGTCTAGAGGCGTTTTCAAATTACGAAAACGCGCCGCTAGAGCATCCAACAGCATATGATGTCTGCTTCATTTGCGTCTATGACGCCACCGCCAGTAACGGATGACTTTTCCCGCCCTAAGCCGCTCATAGTGAGCTTTAAGGTCTTCGAGGGGAAGGGTGGAGAGAATCTTTAGCTCTGGGTGAGAGAGGCTGAGATGGCCATCGCATCCGCCACGTTCCAGACCGAGCAACAGCGCGTGGCGCTAGCCATCTCAAAGCTCGGTGATCGAGCGCGAGAAT